ATAATTTGATTACTAACAAATAAATTATCAAATTTTATAAAAAAATAAAAATAAGATTTTTATATTTTATTGCATAGAATTAAATTATAAAACTTCTATTTTATTGTAATTATACTATTCAATTTACAAAAATGAAAAGAATAGTATCCACTTGTAAAAATTACTAAAATAATGTTACTTCAAATTTTTGTCACTTCGTTTATTTAAATAAACTCAATTAAGTATTTCATATTTCATAATGTGAAGATTTAGTTTTAATTTCATATAATAAAATATTAAAATAAATATAGATAATAAATTTAGTGATTAAATTGTTATAAAGTTAAGTTGAGGGTGACTTCCAAATATTAATAATTTCATAAGCATTGGTGACCAAAATGTAAAAATTTAAAATAATTACTTGAATTTATTTGAATTAATTGAATGACAAATATTTGAAATAATAATATTTTAGTAAATTTAGTAATTGATTAATATTCTTGTGTTTTTTAAATTTAAATGGTATAATTATAATAAAATAAAAGTTTATAGTTTAATTTCATACAATAAAAAATATTGAATGTTTATTTATAATTTTTTATAAATTCCAATTATTTATTTATCATTCTAGTATACTTCGATAGGTAACATAAATAATATAATAATTTATTATATTAACTTTTCATAAACATTGGTGATCAACTTATTATAAATTTATGTTGACAAATGACTTATTGACAATGAAGATCAAAATATTAATAAATTTCATATTTTATAATGTCAAAGTTTTAATTATAGTAAATTTATGTTATCTACATTTCTTTTAATATTTTATTGCATGAAATTAAAATTATGAATTTTTATTATAGTTATTTATTGCAAGAAATTAAAATTATGAATTTTATTGTAATTAGAATATTGATGAAATATTTACTTGAATTTATTTAGATGGATTAAATCACAAAATAATGCTATTTTAGTAATTTTGACAATTGGATAATATTCATCAATTTTTAAAATTTAAATAATATAATTACAATAAAAAACTTATAATTTAATTTTGTGCAATAAAAATATCAATGCTTGTTACTATTTTGTTATAAAAGTTGAATTATTTATCAGTGATCAAATTGAAATTTTTAGAGTTGAGTGACCAAAATAAAATTTTTTTAAAAATTAATTGATCAAAATTAATAATATTTTTGTCAAAATTTATAATGCTATAGTAGCAATGATATTTGACAACGATTGTAGTGGTGCGGCATCAGCACATTGTTAGTAATTAAAAGTTGAGTGACAAAAAAACTTACTCTAAGTGATTAAATTAAAATATTAATATTTAAGTTATCATTTTAAAAAAAATTCCCAAAATTGAATGGTTATTTGTATATTTTACAAAAACCCCTAAAATTGAATGGCTATTTGCATATTTACCCCATTTTTTATACCCATTTCCTTTTAATCCTTTTGTGTTAATATAATAATCTAAGCTATTGACGTACTCATAAACTTCAAAACTAAGATTTCTAACGATATAATGTAAATTCAAATGTCTATTTCAATTAACATAATGAAATATTGAATTCGTGTTTATTTCTTTATCTATATTACTCGGAACACAAAATATTTTTCTCATCTTTCCTCAACTAATCCTTGATATCTATAAAGGTAGTTATAAGATAATCTTTTTTTTTCCCATCTTAACTGTGTTGGTGATTTGATGGTTTCTCCTTCCTAGAATGGATCACCTAATCCCGATAGTTTCGCATGAAAAAACCAAAAAAAAAAACCAAAAATAGCTTAATTAAATCCAAATAGGAAAGGCAGTTCGATACATATACGATGGATTTGATTTAACTTTATCTTTTAAAACTATTTTATTTTAAATCAATTATTAGATAAAAGTGACTAAAAAAAATCAGGATCAAATTGAAGTTTTAAGCAAATCTAATTTGATATATAAAAAAATATTTTTATATATCAATTATATTTATTTTTATATTTATTTAATTTTATATTTATATTAAAAAATAATATTTTATTAATTTTAAATTAAATATAATTTTATATAATATTAAATCAAATTTAAATATAAAATCAAATCAAATTAAAATATTATATATATATAATTGAATCGAATTTGAGACAAATAAAGACCTACATCGAACTAATCCATTAGCTTCTGTAGATCCGAACAAGAGAACAAAATGAAAAGCATCTTTCCGCTTCAAAATGAATATTGTGGGCTTTTGCCTTTTTTTTTTTTTTTTTTTTAATTTCCTTATCAACGAGGTGCAAGGCCAAGAGTTTGATATAAAAAAATCAATGTTCTACATCACGTGCTCGTACTAAAGATTAGGCTATTGGAATATGACGAATTTGCTTTAATTCTTTTTTGTAAAAGAAATCACAATAATATATTTATTAAATTATAATATACATAAAAATTTGATAAAATTTGTTTCCATAAACGCTTTATGGATGATTTATAGACAAGCAAGAAAATCTCTTAAATTTCTCTCTATAATGATATGTAAGATATTTATAAAAAATTATATATTTAAAATTTATTTAATTATCCAAAAATTTTAAATTTAAGTAGAAAATCAATTCAATTATTTTTAAGTTACTAACAATAAATCTAATTTAAATATATTATTCTTTTTAAAATAAATTTCCAAATAATCTTAAATATATATCTTTTTCAATTTAAAATTTTCAAATAGAGTAATATATTATCATTTAAAATAGGTTTCCTAATAATATAAATATATGTTTTTTTTTTAAATCTAAAAATATCAAATGTAATTATAAAATAGACTTCTTAATAATTTAAATATATGTTATTTTGAAATTGAAATTTTAAAATTTAATTTTTATTTTTAGAGATTTCATGATAATTCTTTATTGTTTGATTATTTTTAAAATTTCAAAAAGATCAAATATCACATACATTAAAAGATAATTTATTCTTTAATGGTAATCTTAATGTTAATTCTTTTTTTTTTTTAATTTTTTTCAACCTTTAAGCTTGCAAAAAAAAAAGGCTTTTAACTTGTGAGATGCACAATTTTTTTTTATTATTTTTAATAACTTTCTTATATATGAGATGCATAATTTTTTATTATATTTTTTTCATAAAATGTGCATTCACATGTTAAAAAACTAAAATCAATGTTTTTTTTTTTTTGAAGATTTTATGAAAAATTTGAATATTTTGTTTGTTCGATAAAGTGTGCATGAATCTTATAGAAATTTTTTAACAATTCATGAATGTTGGAGTGGAAGTAGAAAATCGATCTAACATGATAATAACTTTTCTGAAGTATTTTCACAATTGGTGGTAAAATCTATTGACTTAATTGTTTAAGTATTGGTTATTGGTTTTATTTATTTATTTATTTAAAAAAATGTATAGGTTTACTTTTAATTATTGATTTTGTTGCGTTTTTCTTTTATTTGTTTTTAAACAAAATTATAAATAAAGGTAAATGATTAAAATGTAGTATTAATTCTAACATAATTATTTTATAAAAGTAAAATCATGTTTATTTATTAGAAAGTAAGTTTTTATAGCTTAATTATTTTATAGTATTATTGATTGGCTTTTTTCTTGAAAATGAAACGTTAGTTAAAGCTAAAAGCAATTTTTTTTAACCTTTAAAATTGATTATAAAATCATGTGAATGAAAATTGACACCTAATTGAGACTTTTTTGCAATAAATTTTTAAAATAATTGTTTAAAATTTAATAATATTCTATTTCAGCTTTTACAGTAACACAATTTTTCAGTAAACGTAAAGTTTAAAACAAATATAAAAATTAATATGATAAATCTTATAGAAGTTGAAGATCAATATATTACTAAAACTTATGTAATAAATGCACATGCAAATAAGTTATCATGAATATTATTTAAAATATTTTTTCTAAATAAATAAAATTATCTTAAAATTACATAAATTTGTAGGTGTATCAAAATGATTGTAAAATATGAAAAAGACATAAATTGAAAAAAATTAATTTGAAGTGATGAAACTTTTAATTTTTAATTTAATATTTTGATGGTGTACTCAGTAATACTATTTATATATAAATCTTTTGAATATTTTATTTTTCTTCAAATATTATATAAAATTTGAATTTTTATCATTTTTTATTAAAAAAAATTGATTTATTATATTTTAATTATATTATTCATAGTTTACATATATATATGAACATTTAAGTGATTAAATAATATTAATTTACATATCTAAACACATTTAAATAAATAAAAATAATATGTATATTGTACAAGTAATAAATTAGTTTAAAAATAAAGAAAAAGATTGTTTGTGTTAAGATTTGAATTTCAAATTTACTATATATAATCTTTTAAAAGTATTATATGAAATAATTTTGTTAAATTACAAATTTTATTCTTATATTTTTTGGAAACGATGTTTGTTCTTATATTAAAACTTGGTCGAAAGTTGAAATTAAGTGGTGGGGGATTTTATGACATGTTGCACATTTTAGATTTGAGGTGGCAAAGATTATAACACAAACTTTTTTGGTTAAGAAAATTGGACACAACTGACAACCAATTTGTGTGACCTTTACGGGCTCATGAGTCATGTAAGATGTGACCTTTTCATTAATTCAAGAGAAGATTTCCATTTTTTTTTTTAATAATTATTTCTCGTTTGGGTTTAATACTATAGAGCTAAAGAGTTTATTTGTTGTCTTACTCATAAGCCTTAGATATTTGTATTTGTTTTAACAACGAAATATACAATTTTATTATATCCATCATTTGACTTGATGATCGGTACATATATTTTCGATTTATTTGAATTCAAGAAGAAATTATGTGTAGGCTTTTTTTATCATTCATTATTATGCAACGTCATACTGTTGTGGGCTTTTCTTTTACTATTTATTTTATATATATATATATATATATTTAAAAAATTGGGTAAATTAACCTTTAAGTTAAATAAATCTCTATTGGTTTCGTAATGAGAAGTCAAGCCTTTAACTTGTGAATAAGAAAGCAAAGGTTGATAGAAATGGCCCATTAAGAAGAGATCACTGGCTCTAGCCCAGGTGGTCAAGTTCCGTGGTTTACACCCTAAATCCAGCTCCATTTTGTCCCATTAAGATTAGGAATGGGCTAACCAATAACAAATACTACGAGACGGTGCGTTTTGTCGGCTGGTGGCGAAAGCCTGGAATATGAGAAACGAAACGGCGCTTAATTGCTCTGACAAAGACGGAACTCTGAAGCAGGAAACCTGAAGCGAAGAGCGTCAAGAAGTTGCCATACTTCCTCCTTTGAAACAATTCAAAGGGAGCCACGGTAAGAATTTGATTCTACTCTGTTTTTCTTACTTAGAAAACCCAAGGCAAGCAAAAGAAAATGAAGCTCTTTTGAGCCTTTTAATGTTCGGTATAGTTTACTAAAGAACTGCACATCAATCCTTTGATAAAAGGCTTGAATGAAAAGAGAAAAGAAATTCTATTAAAAAAGGATGAAAAGTGCTTAAACAAATTTGGGTTCTTGAAGAAAAATAATACTTTTTCATGTTTATTGATTTTAGCAAAGTTTTAGTTCCACATACATGTTCTTTTGGATGCTTACAGATAACAACTTTTTTTTGAAAGAAAATACTTAAAATAGAAATAGATCAAATTTGAGTTAAATTTAATATTTTCAATTTTAATCATGGGATTATGAGAATTATGAATGTTGTTTTCTTTGTTTTTACGCTTTATCTTTTATATGATGGCATTGCTGTTTCTGAGACCCTCAGTGATACGTATTATTGGCTTTTTGGAGTTGTTTTGACTAAGTTGGCAACTGGGTATTGATTGAACGAACTTGCTGGACTTTGAATCAGGAATTCTTATGTCAGCCTTATTGTTCACTACATTGTGTACTGTCTTGATTCTTGACTGTTGCTACTGCTATGGCTGCGGCCAAGACTCGGGCAAGTAGCTTCTCTCGAAACCTTTCGGCTGCAGCCCCATCTCAAGGCCCTGGACTTAAGTGTGGGCCAAATGGCTTGGTCTTTCTATCTTCCGGGATACCCGACCTTGACAGTAATGGCCTACAGTCTCTCATTCTTCTTGTTGCATAACGTTCTCTTTTGGGATTAGTTCTTTCATTTGATTTGTTCTCTTATTGAATAGTTTTTACTTGATATGCAGAGATATTAGGTGGAGGATTCCCTTTGGGAAGCCTAGTTATGGTGATGGAAGATGCAGAAGCACCTCATCACATGCTTTTGTTGAGGAATTTCATGGCTCAGGGACTTGTTCACAACCAACCTCTTCTCTATGCTAGTCCAGCCAGAGACCCAAGAGGGTTTTTGGGTACTTTGCCCAGTCCTGCTGCATCCAAAGATAACAAATCCTATGAAACTGATCCAGATCAGGTGCCCATCATCTTTGACACCCTTTTATCTTTTGGTTTCTTCTTCAGTTTGTTTGAAATCTCATATGTGCAAATGCTAAGAATATGAACATTATAGTCTAAAAACTTGCAGGAAAAAGGTCTGAGAATTGCTTGGCAGTATAAGAAGTACTTTGGTGAAAACCAACTCAATTTTGATGGTCAAAAAGGCAGTTTATCCCTTGGTATTATTCATTATTTCTTTTCACTTGTAGGTTTAACAAAAAGTTAATGCAGCTTGCTTTTGGGTTTTAATTAAGGTTAAGAAAAGAATTATTCTTTCAACTCATAATACTTTATCACTTTTCAGTTAAAACTTCATGCATTATCAGGTGTTTATTTGAAAGTGCACATGCTATCCCCTCCTTGAAAGTTCTATACTCATATCTCCTTATGTTAATGTGGTGCAGATGGTAAACATGAGTACTCTAATGAATTTGACTTGCGGAAGCCCCTAGATAGGCACTTCCTCAATAGGCAGCATGTAGATTGTGTTAGCATCCAAGATTCTCCTGATCTTTCTGTTCTTCGTGACCGTTGTTCAACATTTTCATCCCAGTTTCCACGGTATTATCACATGCTTTCTTGGTCATATATTCATAACATTGGAAACATTTGACCATGTTGCTATATTAGTCAATGTTTGATTTAATATTACCTGTTATGTCATCTCCCTTGCAGCTCCATGAAGAATACTGTATGAAGTTCCAAAGTTATATTTTTAGTGTCTCAACTAACTTGCCATTATCTTTTATGTCTTCTTTTTTGTTCTTTCCATTTTGGTATATTTACTTGTCATTACTTTCCTCTTTCGGCTATCTCATAGAAATGATGGCAGCGTTTCATGTGCTGGTCGTATCGCTATCCAATCATTTTGTGCTCCTCAATGTGCATATTCCAACATGGTTAGTAGCAAGTCCTTAGGATTTGTTAAATTATTATAAATTCCTGTTTCTTTCCTTGATCAAAGAGTTCCTTTGTAAGTAAAGAAATTTTTAAAATGTTTTTGAGCATTCAAACTGTAGAAATCGTAGTTTTAAAATTTATCTTGGATAGGTCACCTGATTTTAGTTGTTATCCATTATTTCTGTTGCTATACTACTATTGCAGGAATGGGATATGCTTTCATTTATTAGATCTCTGAAAAGCATGGTACGGTCTTCAAATTCAGTTGCAATAATAACCTTTCCACCTTCCCTTCTTTCACCATCCTTCTGTAAAAGATGGCAGCACATGGCAGACACATTGCTTTCTGTGAAAGCAATTCCAGGTTTATTATCAATCTATACCATGCGCTTATGGTATGCACTATTGATTTCAAATGTATCTTGACTCATTGATCTCGTTGGATGCTTCTGTTAGACGAAGACAAGGATTTGGCACAACTCCTCACTGGTTACCAGGAGATGGTTGGCTTTCTGAACGTGCACAAAGTAGCACGCATCAACACACAGGTTCATTAGTTTGTCCTCACCCTAGTCTTGTACAACATGATCACCGTAGTCTTGTACAACATAATTGGTTCCTTTACAGTGTAGTATCGGTATGCAAATTTATTCACATTAGTCTCACTCTGCTCATTATCTTACATTTTCTACTTTATTTGTCCCAAATTAAGCAGGTTCCTGTCATTCTTGAGGCAACAACTTTTTCAATCAAGTTGCAAAAGCGTAGGTATTTGGTTTTAGAATGTCTAAATCAGGCCCCTGTCGATGGATCAAGTGGAACTTCGTATGGAACATCTGGTAGTTGCTCTGGTTCCTCCAAGGCTGGGAACCTTGATTTTTGACTGAATACTTCTGAAGAATGAGAGAAACGGTCTCCTGCTTTTTTCTTCCTTGCTGATTGACTTTTTCCATACAAATAATTTATGGTCATGTTCTATATGCAACATCTTGAATTTTATTTAAAAACGTGTTTGTTGATTAAGGTTTGAGTAATGTTTCAAGCTTTGTTCATAATTTTAGTTTAAAATTGCTACTATTCATTTGCTTTGTTGCTAGATTATTAGATTTTTAATTTTAGTAAGATTAAAATCCTGACAGTTTCATTTTCAATCCAAACTTATTCTTACTACCTTTCATTTTCTATTCTTTTTTATTTATTTATTGTCTTTTCTTTCTATTCATACTTTTTACCAAAAAAAAAGTAAAACAATAAATAATAAAAGTATTATGAATCTCAATAATTTATTCCTTGTTTAATAGAAAAAAATTATTTCCTTATTTTTTGAAGAAATAGAAAAAAAAAAAAAGAAAAGAAAACTTGTACATGTATTTTTGGTGTAACTCGTACATTTTATCATACGTACTAAAAATTCAGTACCTCTATCGAAGAAGCCAATCGAAAGGGAAAAAATATCTAACCCATTTAATTTGGCTGTTCAATTTGCAAATTTACCCTAGTTGTAACTCCAACTTAAGTTGGAATGGGTATTCTTACCTTCAAATAACTTTCAAATTCTAGGGCATTGTTAGGGTGGGGCCAACCCAGATCTGCTAGCTCAAACAAGTCAAACCCCAAATTATAAAAAATAAATAAATAAACAAATCAAGAAAGACAAGGAAAAACAACCCGAGAAACATAAGCGAGTTATTTTCGCTCGCTTGCCCGTTAGCCTGCGGTCTTCCCAAAAACACATGGCAACGCGATCCCTTTGGCGCACGCGAGCCAAGCTGGCGGTTGCCGCCACCGCCCTCTGCACGGGAGGCGCCGCCGCTACTATTGCTACCTCCGACGATCCCGCCACAGCTCTCAAGGTCTGCACCACCGTTCCTCTTCGCCTTCTCCGTGACTCCATAACTGCCGCCTCCATTGTCTTCGGTACCTAAAGAACCATTTTCTATTTCTGTCAAAGTTTTAACGTTATATTTCATTTATTCTTTTGATTAATAGAGTTAATTGGAGCTTAAATTTCAATCTTGAATTAAAAAAATTTAAGTCTAATGGAAAAATTAGTTGAGTTTGTTACATTTAAAGGGATATTTAAGTTTTTTTTTTTTTAAATCCCATCGCTAGAAGTTTAGTGAATTATTGGGAATTTGGTTACTATTTTTCCCCATTTTCATAGCCTTTTTTTTTTTTATTAAACTTTTGAATGATGCAATTAGATTATGAATACTCATTATGGGGACTACCGGAAGGAAGCAATGAGAGAGCAAAAGTTAAACATGAAGTTCATTTAAGGTCGGCCCGGAAGCTTCAAGAACTTTGTTTTAGAAATGGAGGAATTTATATCAAGCTTGGCCAACATATTGGGCAGTTGGTATACGCTTAGTAATGCTGACTTTGTGTCTTTGAATAAAGTTTGACATATGGGTTTTTGGATTCATTAGATGCTATTTAATTTTGGTTTTGAGCTGAAGGATTTTGTTTTTTTTAGGAATATCTAGTTCCTCAGGAGTATGTTCAGACAATGAGGGAGTCGATGTTGAATAGGTGTCCAGTTTCTTCATATGATCAAGTCTGTGAAGTCTTCAAGAAGGAACTCGGAGAGATGCCTGATAAAGTACGTATTGTTTTGATTTTTGAAGCATAATGTTTGCATAGGCAGAGTTATATTATTTCTTAATGATTATTAAGGCTGCATAACTGCTTTTCCAAATAAAAGGTTCTATCAGTACTTCTTTTGACATGTAGAATCTATACTTGTCCTTTTAGCCTATCTTTTCATGCACAGGTCTTCAATGAATTTGATCCCAAACCAATAGCAAGTGCTTCTCTTGCACAAGTTCATGTTGCTCGTACCCATGATGGCCAAAAAGTTGCTGTGAAGGTTTCAATCTTTATTACCTTTACTTGGAAAATTTTCCATTTGAATTTTCAGATGCAGGACTCAAATTTTCTTGCTAGGATTTATTTCCCACGTTAAAATTTTTTGTCTTGAAATTCAGGTTCAGCACACTCATATGACAGATACTGCAGCTGCAGATCAAGCCACTGTGGAATTTCTTGTCAACACTCTACATTGGTTATTTCCATCTTTTGATTACAGGTACTGTTTTTTAGAATTTCCTTCTTTGGCTTCTAGATTATGAGTTATGATGCACGCATAGATGGATGCATGACTGCAGATTTGCTTGACTTGAGCATAAGGTTTTTCTGTTGTCTTTGTCATGGGATTATATTGTTTCAAACTGTTAGAGTTCTTTGAAATTTTTTTGGCTTATGCATGCAGATGGTTGGTGGCTGAAATTCGAGAAAGTTTACCCAAGGCAAGTTGCTTTGATAACCTTCTCTTCAATATTTTTCAGGAATTCCTTTATGTCTTGATTTCCATAAAAAATTCTCTAAATTTAGTCTTTTAAGAAGCTAGATGTATTTTAAAATTGGTTTCTTTATGACATGGTACTCATGTGTTTAACTTTTTGTTTGTATACCTTCCATGCGCCCTTGCTTGTAAAAGATGGACTTAGACAACTATGCATAATTGTCTCTTGCTTGGATAGTCATGTTTTTCATTTACCCAATATGTGTTCAGCTTTCTTTCCATCCAAGATGGTATAGCTTGACTTTCTATTGTTTCTAACCTTTTGACATCAGGAGCTAGACTTTTTAATAGAGGCAAAGAACAGTGTGAAATGTTTGGAAAATTTCCGGAAGCTGTCTCCTCATATTGCGGATTGTGTATATGCACCAAAAGTGTATTGGTCTTTAAGTACCTCAAAGCTGTTAACAATGGAATTCATGGATGGTGCACAAGTGAATGATGTGATTACCATTCGAAGACTTGGAATCCAACCCAATGAAGTTGCAAGATTAGTAAGTTCTTGGCTTGAAATTGTCTGCCAATTGTTTTTCTGCATTTAGAAGCTGTATAATACAACTCCACTACCCCATGCTTTATTTTTTTATTAACATTGTTGGGTTCATGAGTTGTATATTATGAAAATGAGACTGTTTGTGTAAGAAAGGAACTATATAATGATTACAGTTATGCGATTGTTATAAACACATACAAGGAAATAATCTTGATGATACGTAATCTGATTCTATGCAGGTTAGTCAAACTTTTGCTGAGATGATGTTTAAACATGGATTTGTTCATTGTGATCCACATGCTGCTAATTTATTGGTTCGGCCATTACCTTCTGGCAGAAGGAGCATTTTTGGTGAGGGTTTCTTTTTTGTTGAGATGATTTAAGAATATCTCTATTAGTGCTTAACTAGTTGCAATGGGGTATGGTTGGTGTTAATTCTTTCTTTCTTCTTAACTGACCTCAGTAAGCTAAATTTTTCTGTCTGTTTTTGGTTAAAGCTATGGAATCTCTTGCAGATTGATCTTTCTAGGATGGTGCCCCTTCTTTCATTATCAATTGTTCATTGCTAGTAATGATGCCAGCTTTTAGATTTTTAATCATGCAACTGCTGAAGAAAGAAATATATTGGGGAGCTTGTTATTCTTAAGGGAAAAAATGTTGGTTTCTAAATGTTCTATATTCATTTTAAATTGACTAAAACCTGTTGTATCTCTTGCCATTGACTCCAGAATGTGGTTGCCGGAAAAAAAAAAAAAAAACAGAGAAATCTAGAGAACATTATGACTTCCACTTAGATATATAATTGCTCATCCTTATTAAAAATCTGAGTTCCTTTGACACTCTTCTTTTTGAAGCTTTTCATGTGCTTGGTTGTGAAGTTTGATTACTTCTCCAAATACAATATTAGGATTCCTTGTCTGAATATTTGATTTGTTTTCTTTTCTCCTTTTGTTTGCAGGCAAGAGAAAACCACAGTTGATACTTCTAGACCATGGTCTTTACAAAGAACTTGACTTCTCTACCAGATTCAGCTATGCTTCTCTTTGGAGTGTACATCATTGCTCTGCCTAAAATTTGGATTTAGTTCTTGATGCATTTATGGTTTTTACGCGAGCAATTTGATGTTCTATGTTTGTGCTTTGACTTCCATTGCAGGCATTGGTGTTTGCTGATGTCAATGGAATAAAGGAAAATAGTGTGAAATTGGGTGCTGGGGAGGATCTATATGTGCTATTCGCAGGGATTCTAACCATGAGGCCCTGGAATAGGGTCATTGACTCTGCTGTGGATCATTTGGTCATAAAAGGCACTGACAGTGATCGTTCAGAATTACAGGTGATTTGTAAAGAGTTGATGGTTTTGTAGATGCTGTTACCGATAATTTTTCTCTTATTGGTTTCCTTCTGAATAAGGATCTGATTCCAAATGAGGCTCTGTATTTGCCTTAGAGATTATTATTTGCTATATTATTAAGTTGGAACGTTGGATTTTTTAATTGATTGGTTCTCACTTCTTGCTTGGCCATATCTATCCTCTGTGGCAGATGTATGCATCTCAATATTTCCCTCAAATATCAGAGCTTCTCAGGAGACTGCCCCGGGTTATTCTATTGATGCTGAAGACAAATGATTGTTTAAGAGCAGTCAATAACTCTCTGGTATTGTCTAGTTCTCCACATCTTGGATTTCATTGAGTTATTGTTTTCATGAGGTGACTGATGAGGGGCATATTATATGAGCACTTTACCTTTGGAACTTTGATTTGTCACTAAATTGTCTTTACTGCTGCTTGCATTTGGATTTTCGTTGACAGTTACAGGGTTCTTCTCTTGAGACATTTCTGATCATCGGAAAAGTTTCTTCTGAAGCAGTTGTTGAGGCAAAGATGATGCAGAAGAAATCCTTACTTACTTGGTTAAATGTCTGGGTGGAAGAGTTCTTTTTGGAAGCTCGTCTTTTAGCGATGCAGATGGCCTTGTGGCTTTTTCATGTCAGGAAAGCATTGGCTTGGTAATAGTTTCAGGTTTGAAAGCAGTTTCTTATCTCATATTAGGCATCTAAACCTCAATATTTTTTGCCTCTGTTGTTCAGACCACCTCATGCAGGTTGTTTGAGCTTGGATTGATAGATTGATTCTTTCTCTTCAAGAAAGGAATAAATTCGTAAAATTTTGTGTTCTTGATTTTGTAAAATACCCTATTTCCTGCGGAACTAGGTCATTGTTGTAAAACCCCATCAACCAGGCCAGTGATAAACTGCAAGAAACTTCGTTTTCTTGACAACTGTAGATTAGTTTCAATGACAAACAGAACCAGCTGATTATTGATTACTGCAGCATGTGGGAATGAAGCAATTTATATCTCAAATACATTTGTTCCTTTCTTGTGAAAAGAGCCTGATTGAATGATAGCACTATTCAAGCAAATAGGATTTTAAATGCAGTCAGAAGAAATAGATCAATCGACCAGGTTTTTTTTTTTTTTTGTCTTTAATAATGTTTCCTCTGTGAATTCCTAAGCTTTATTAATGTTTCCTCTGTGAATTCCTAAGCTTTATTACTCATCATTGCTGCATTTATAGTTGGTTTCTAATAAACCTTAGTTTCCCTCTCTCGTTCCTTCCTTCCAATCAGGAAAAACAAAAAAAACCCTTGACCCCATTGAGCTGGCGGGGTTTCTATTTTTCTTTCCCTCGGCGTCAGGGCAGCAGCAAAACAACCATATACTTCCAAATTTGCCAGGCTTTACTTGAATAGGGCGAACCCATAGCCTTGAGGAATGTGCTTAGTTGGCAAATTGACCAGGCTTATAAGTGACTAATAAAATGGAAGCATAAACATATTCGGAAAATGAAGGATAGTTTTATATTTGGTTCTATTACGGTAAAATAGAATGGAGAAAAGGATTAAGATTTAAGACTAATTGTTGAGTTGTGATTGGAAGGCTTTTTCTTAATTTCTTTTTTTTTTTTTTTTATAATTAAGGTAGTCGGGATTTAAAATTGAGAGTTTAATATTATATGAATAAATTATACTACTGTGGGTAAATTTTAATTATATTGTATTAATTGTGGAGCAAAATTCGGCTGCTAGTTTGGTCGGTTTTTGACCAAGATCACTGCTGGTCTGGCGACCACCTCCCTCCCCCCCTTTTGACCTCTCCTACATTATTTCACCATCAATTCCTCGATCTGTTTTCTCTTACTGCATAAAACATCCACACCCAGCTTTCTCCCCAAAATGATTCGTCAATGAAAATTTTAAATTACATATACATTAGTAGCTATAGGTCTGCATAAACCCCAAAAAAAATTGGTAATAAAAATTTAAATTGTATAAATATCTAAAAAAAGAGAAATTTTGAGCCAAGATAACTTTATTTTTTATAGCAATATGTGTTGGCTTTTTATGTTTGTAAACTAAAAAGAGATAAAGACATTTTAAAACTTAACAAGAACATTGAACAAATCAAGTTCTTAAAATGTTGTACCCTAGTTGGGATGAAACAACTTCACAGCCTGAAACTCGTATACAAAATCATGCAAATGCAAGGCATTTTGTCAAATTAGGCACTCCCAAACATAACTTCAGATTCTAGAATACTTAGACCGTGTTCCCATCCATAAAATATGTGCCAACATTATTGTAGTATATCTAATAAAATATATATATATATATATATATACATATGTATAAGAAATTATCTCATCCTGCATTGACAAAGTTAAGAAATGTCTCATTTAAAATATATTTATATATATTAAAAATTAATTAATTAATAAACACAAATGTTTTTTGAATTTAAAATTTTCCTAAACTATATATAAACAATAAATTTATATATTTATTGACCATATTTTGTAATTAATTTCAAATGCATAGCTTTTTTTGTATGTTAATAGTAGGCTTTCCGACTATCAAAAAAGCTTTAAGCTGAAAGGCTAAAATAATAAAAAAAAATTAAATTTTATCAATTTATTTGAATAAATTTTTATATTGTTATTATATTTAAATAAAATTTTAATTTATATTTAAATAAATTTTTAAATTTTAATTTATATTTAACTAAAATTTTAATTTTTAATTTGTACTTAAATAAACATTTAATGTTAATTAATTTCTTATTAAAAATAAAAATAAGATAATAATGACTAATTTAAATATAATAAAAATACAATAATTTAAAGATTTTTGTTCTAAGGCTTTAGCCAAACCAAAATTATGTTATCCTAAGAGAAACACGTTGGGCAAAGGCTGATCCACGGTCCTCCACTTTCCATTCACATTAAAAGGGTGAGAAAGAGAAAAGAAAAAGAAATGGTGGGACTAGTTAGGCCACAGTTCATCCTCTTTGTATCATCCATTGTCTAACTTAGTTTCAGCAATTGTGGATGGGGAGCTATTCTTGCTAAAATCTATGCTTGCAAAGTATTTTCTCTTTGTATCTCTCTTCATAACTTCTTTTTCTTCTTTCTGGTTGTTTTCAATGTCTTTGTTGAGTTATATTTTTTTAGCATACGAGGTTGTCTCTGTTGGTTTGGTCCACTATTGTTTTTTTTTTTTTTTTTGCATTCCAATATCTTTCTTTTATTTTTTTTATACTTAATGATAATTTAGATGATTGGATTCTAAAAGAAAGCTTGGTCTTTTTGAAGAGTGATTTGCTTGGTCTTTAAATTACAAATATATAGGGAGAAAAGTAAAAAAATAAAGAAAAAGGAAGTGGGGAGGAAAGAGTGTGCCATTCATCTCCTTCTCTCTTTTTCTTCATTTTTTAAAGTTTTTTTTCCTAAATATTTGTAATTAGTATCAGAGCCTATAAAAATCTTTGTATATCATAGATTATACAAATCAGTATTCAGATATATATATATATATATTTTACTTGAGATCTTCATATCACAGTTATCATTGTAAATATTTTTTCACTTTCATAACTTTTAATTTTAAGTTTTATGTTTTAAAACCCATATATCTATTTGCTATCTTTGTGCTAGTTTTATTGCTTTGTTGTGGCTTTTAAACCTAGTTTTAGAGATATTTGAAAGGTGTTCAAATGATTTTAGGTATCAAGAACATGAAGCAAAATATTGAAAACTATGTTTGTTCAAAAAAACCTTAGAATCAGAATTTGCCTAGGGATCTTCAATTAGAAAATCATATACTAGCAATCAGCCATAGTATTAATGGATTTGTAGATTTATCTACTACTTTCTTTAAAAAATTATTTAATAAAGTTAATATATTAGAATAAAAAATAGACAATTTAGGACAAGTGACTAGTTTAAATCTAAATCAAGATTCTAAACAACTATTAGTAAATATTAATAAAAAATTAAAAATTATTAAAAGTTGATAAAAGTCAAACAAATGACTTTGGACCTTTATATTATGGCAATGTTATCCTTACTCTTAATGATGATAAACCATCATCTTCTCAATCAGATTTTTCTAAATTAGAAAAATTAGATTTTAAATCCGATAAAAGTCTTATAAAACACCTTAAGTATAAAATGAAAAAAGCCACAGATCTTAAAGGAAGGACTGATTATTTGAATATGATAGAAAAATTATATGAAATACATATAGAACTTTTTAAAAAGTTTAATTATCATTATATGTTTAATTATGATACTATTGATGAAAGTAGTTCAGATGAAGAAGATACAAGAAAAGATAAAATTCTAACTACTAATTCAATAATAAAAGATGAAACAAGCAGTATAGAATCTTCATCCTCTGAAGAAGTAGACAAAGAAATAGATACTAAGCCTACACCTTCAGATCTTGATCAACAAAAAATTGATAAAGAAAAAAAAAGTAGGAGAAATTTTTAATCAAGAAATTGATGATAAAAATAGGTTTGCTAATAGAACTAAAGATAGTATTTATAAGGATGAAATCAAACAAACAGGAACATCTTCTGAAACTATTACGAAACTTATGCCATAATTTAGTTTTATAGAATCTTTAAACAAAAGAACTGTAGCTCAAGGAGGAACATATTTAGATCTTTCAAAAATATTGATAAATGACTATGAAAAAACCATAGAAGATTGGGCACAATCTATAACTATTGTAGTAAACAACTACAAAGACACTTGGTCTAAAGAAAAAAATTTAAATTATTTTTGTAGAACATTTCAATGAGATATTTTACAATTTTTGCGTAAATGAAAAAAAAAACTCTAAAACAGGAAAAGCTCAAAAAAGGACTTTGTTAAATCAAATAACTACAATACCAAATTTGTTAAAAAACCTTACAAATATACTAAAAAGTGAATTTTGTGGAAGAATAAAACTGGCTAATCAAAATAGTGAAGCTAGTTATATATTAACTAAAATAAAATTATGTGACATAAGACATTTAGAAGAATTTTCTAAAAAATATATTCACAAATACCAAAAGTTGGATGAAACTCATTCCAAATTATGGAAAGAATAATATTTTCATAAATTAGCATCACCTTAGGATGAACTCTATAATCAATAATATCCCAAATATTTAGAACTTCACAACCCTACATGAGAAAATAAAGACTATCTAGATTCTATAGAAAATAGAGTTTATTTTGCTTCTAACAAATTATAGAACATTACCTTAAAACAAAGGCTTCTAAACAAGCAAAAAGTAAATTAAGTAATAACCAATGCATAAAAATACTAGAAAATGAATGAAATTTTGGTTGTAAATCTCAATCTAAAACCTATTCAACGAAATACAAAAAATATATATATAAATTGGTCAAATGGAAGCCAAAAAAGCATAAATTTAACCAAAAGAAAAAATTTATTAGAAGAAAAACTTATAAAAGGAAATCAAAATGCAAATGTTTTATTTATGATGAAGAAGGCTATATAGCACCTCAATGCCCTAATAAAGTAAAAAATGCTAAAAAAAGTTATTACTCGAAGAACGAGATTTAAAAATTTATTTTGGAAAAAAAGTTTTTGAAGGCGAATTTATTTATGAATTTAATTTTTTAAATAGATTATGATTCTGATGATGATGGATATATTTTTATGCTTAATTAAGTAATAAACAATGCACAAAAATACTAGAAAATGAATGAAATTTTGGTTGCAAATCTCAATCTAAAACCTATTCAACGAAATACAAAAAAAATAAGGATATAAATTGGTCAAATGGAAGCTGAAAAAGCATAAATTTAACAAAAAAAAAAATTATTAGAAGAAAAACTTCTAAAATGAAATCAAAATACAAATGTTTTATTTGTAATGAAGAAGGCCATATAGCACCTCAATGTCCTAATAAAGTAAAAAATGCTAAAAAAAATTATTAAAACTCTTGAAGAACGAGATTTAAAAATTTATTTTGGAAAAGAAGTTTTTGAAGGCCAAATTATTTATGAATTAATTTTTGAAATAGATTCTGATTCTGATGATGATGGGTATATTTTTATACTTAATACAAGAAGCAATCCTAATAATAATACTATATCGAAAGTTAATAATCAACTTAGTTCGAAACTAAAGATATACTTGCTGAAGAATAGCAAATAACAAAATTAAATGATGTCTTAGGATAAAATGTTATTATTTCATATGAATTGTTAGAAAAACTAAAATCATTAAAGAAAGATGAAATATATAAACTTTTTGTCTTCTCAAAATTCAAACGATGGATAAACAGACACATAGAAAAATTTAGTGGCAATACTATAGTTACTTATTCTAATCAAGGATCTGTAAATATTCCTTTATTTACTAAAAAAAATCAAGAGAATTAAACAAAAATATCTTGAAGTTAGATATATATATATATATATTTAGGAATAATTATGATAACTATAAAAGTTTTATTCAAAACTGGAAATGATGTACCAATAATAGCAATATTAGTAGATAAAAGATTTGAAAATCCTAATAAAGCACTAATAGGAAGAATACAATCAAATCTTGTTTTAGGAGCTGTTTGCTTTAAAGTAAAACCAAATTATTTTATTTCTATTAATGACCCATTAATAGAAGATTG